TAGGAAGTAACCCATGCAGATTCTACTGAGAGCCACTTGGCTTGCAAAACTCTAGTGTGGATTTTATAAGACAGTGCAGATTTAACACTTAGCACACTGCTTGGCACATAGTAAGTACTCAGAAACTGCTGTTAGGAGTAGTCATTGTGATAATGATTAAACAGCAAAACTCTCTGGGTTATGCTCAGATCCTGGTTACTTGGCTAGAAGTTTGGTTGTCATTTTGGAGATACTTTTTTATTTTATTTTTATTTTTATTTTTTTGAGACAGTGTTTTGTTCTTGTCACCTAGGCTGGAGTGCAATGGCGTGATCTCCGCTCACTGCAACCTCCGCCTCCTGGGTTCAAGTGATTCTCCTGCCTCAGCCTCCCAAGTAGCTGGGATTACAGGCACACGCCAAGATGCCCAGCTAATTTTTTGTATTTTCAGTAGAGACAGTGTTTCGCCATGTTGGCCAGGCTGGTCTCAAACTCCTGACCTCAGGTGATCCGCCTGCCTCAGCCTCCCAAAGTGCTGGGATTACAGGTGTGAGCAACCAATCTCAGCCTGGAGATACTCTTGACAAATGTCCTGTCTCTGTGGTGGCCCCTTCAGGGCTCCAAAAGATTAAAGAGGTGGCTCAGGGGAGAAGTGGAGAAGGGAGATGTTTGCTGTTAAAGCTTGCCGGTGACATCTCAGGATGAAGAAACGGGGACATGAGTTACAGCGCAGTCACTGTCCCTCTGGTGCTCAGCTTCAGGGAGCAGAGGTGGCTCCAGAAGTGCTCCCCCAGCCTGTCCACCCCTCTGCCGGGTAAGGAGGGAGGAAAACAGGACAGGGGATGCTGAACAAGCAGATCTCATAGGCTAAGCAGCTTCCACGGGACAAGGACTCTGATCCCTGAGAATGGAGGAGGTGTTTTTTTCCGCCTACCTGAGAAATGCGCAGAAGCGGACAGCCTGCCTCCTCAGAGTCCTCTCTCTGGTCACAGGCAGAGCAGGTGATAGAAGCTGCTGTTGCTGGTGCAGGGAAATGTCTTGAGCCTGGCTCCCTGGGACAGAGTGCAGCGGATTGCAGGAGCAGGGCCTCTGTGCAGTGTGGGTCTGGCAAGCCCATAACCTCCCAGGCCACTGCCGTCTCTGTGTGGCCATTTGACCTCGACTGGGCGCGGGAAGGAGTTTAGACAGTGCTCTCTCCTGCCGGGTTCCTCTTCAAGTAGCTCCTCAAGAAACCAGGCCCCTCCGAACACAAGTGTTCTTTGTCACAGATGAGGAAGAGGAGGAGTTCACTGAAGGTCAGGAAGAGGAAGAGTCCACAGAAGGGAAGGAAGAAGGTAAGACATTCATCTACCTCCATTGCTTCATTCCTTCACTCATTCCACAACACGAGACGCCTACTATGCGCAAAACGCTGTGTTAGACATTGGGAATGATACTGAGCCCTGTCCCTCAGCATGTGCTTTAAGGTAATGTCCTGTTCTCCTTACTCTTAGAGAGGAAAAAACCCCAAACTGTTCATAGTAAAATACTCCCATTTCACATCTAAATGATCTTCTTAGATGGAAATCAATACAGCACAGCAGAAGAAAATACGGGGGCTCATGAGGTAGGTTGGGCCCATTGAGGTGTTTTGTTTGGCGAGCACTGTGTTTAAATTTAAAAAAAATTACTTGCTGGCCAGAAACAGTGGCTCACGCCTGTAATTCCAGCACTTTGGGAGGCCAAGGCCAGCCTGGCCAACATAGTAAAACCCCATTTCTACTAAAAATACAAAAAATTATTCGGATTTGCTGGTGGGCACCTGTAGTAGCAGCTACTCAGGAGGCTGAGGCAGGAGAATCCCTTGAACCCAGGAGGTGGAGGTTGCAATGAGCTGAGATCGTGCCACTGCACTCCAGCTTGGGTGATAGAGTGAGATTATGTCTCAATAAAAAAAATTCTTTGCTGGCTGGGTGTGGTGTCACATGCCTATAATCCCAGCACTTTGGGAGGATCACTTGAGGCCAGGAGTTTGGGACCAGCCTGGTCAACACAGCAAGACCTCATCTTTACAAAAAACAATTTTTGGCTAACGCCATTTTCGGCATTAGCCCACCTGCACCCAGGTTATTATTAAAAAAATTTTTTGATTAGCCAGACATGGTGGGTACATACTTTTAGTCCTAGCTACTTGGGAGGCTGAGGCTGGAAGATTGCTTAAGCCCAGAAGGTCGAGGCTGCAGTGAGCTATGATTGCACCACTGCCCTCCAGCCTAGGCAACAGAGGGCGCTACACTGTCTCTTAAAAAAAAAATTAATTGCTAACATTTTTTAAATTAGGGTTTGTTTGTTTATTTGTATATTTGTTTGTTTGAGATGGAATCTCACTCTGTCACCCAGGCTTGAGTGCAGTGGTATGATCTCGGCACATTGCAACCTCCACTGCCCAGTTCAAGCTATTCTCCTGCCTCAGCCTCCCAAGTAGCTGGGATTACAGATGTGTGCCGCCACGCCCAATTAATTTTTTGTAGTTTTAGTAGAGACGGGGTTTCACCATGTTAGCAAGGATGGTCTCAATCTCCTGACCTCATGATCTGCCCGCCTTGGCCTCCCAAAGTGCTGGGATTACAGGTGTGAGCAACGACACCCAGCCTTTTTTTAAGGGTTAAGAAAAAGGAGATTTCAACTAAGAATCTGCATTTTTACCTACTTGTGAAAGTTTAGAAAAAGCAAACAATGCTGGACTTGAACTTCCCTGTAGTCCCAGAACAATGGCTCTGGGCAGTGACTTTCCCCTTTAAAGGAAAGGGTACATACCAGCCAGGTGCAGTGGCTAATACTTGTAATCCTAGTACTTTGGGAGGCTGAGGCGGGTGGATCACCTGAGGTCAGGCGTTTGACACCAGCCTGGCCAACATGGGGAAATCCCATCTCTACTAAAAACACAAAAATTAGCCAGGCGTGTTGGCGGGCCTATAATCCCAGCTGCTTGAGAGGCTGAGGCAGGAGAATCGCTTGAACTCCAGCGGGGCGGAGGTTGCAGTGAGCCGAGTTCATGCCACTTCACTACAGCCTGGGTGAAAGAGCAAAACTCCATCTCAAACAAAGAAAAAAAATGAGACATGCCCTTGCCAGTTTGCCCAGCCCACCACTGTCAAAACTGCTTACTTCACTCATTCATGTTATCTGCTGGCCCCCTGTAGGCATGTGAGTTCACCAGCCTGGTAGAGTTTGATTGAGGCTGGGTTCTGAATTGCAACAGCTCACAGTTTCTCTGAGTCTCAGGCTACTCATCTGTGCATGGGGGCATAACAGTACTGATGTCAAAAGATTATAGTGGGTAGTAAATAAGATAATCATTTAGCACAGTATCTGGTGCATAGGAAAGACGTTTGCTAATTAGCACATGCTTGCAAAAGTTATTTTTCAAACCATAGGTACTGCAACTAAATCGCAATCCAGTTGAAAAATACAGGGTAGCCTTTTGGAGTTTTGTACTGATGTACAATCCATAATGTTTGGGCAGCTAAATTCTATTTTGGTTTTAAAAGGAAGCAATCAGGCAGATAATTGGAGTTTGATGTTTTATTCAAACTCCTGTTTGAATAAACGGTAGCTTGGTAAGCCTTGGATCCTCCAGAGTCCCTGTCTCACCAAGTGCCTCTGTGTCTTTTTCTTTATTTCAGGACATCAGTAAGGAGCTGGATGAGTGAGACACCCCTCGAGATGCAGAGAGACTGGGGAGGGCGGGGAGGGGCCCAGTGGCCTTGGTGACAGGCCCAGGGTCTAGGCCCCTGGAGGGGCAATGGGGAGGTAATGTCTTCTCTCTGCTCAGAGAGGAGGGACTAGGGTAAGACCCTCACTGCTGCGTCCAGCAGCCCCTGAACCAGAATTAGAAATGTGCTTGAAACAATCACACAGGACACTTTTCTACATTGGTGCAAAATGGAATATTTTGTACATTTTTAAAATGTGATTTTTGTATATACTTGTATCTGTATGTCAATTTGGTGCTTTTTGTAAAGGAACTTTTGTATCATGCCTGGTCATTGGGTGACCTGCAATTGTCAGAAAGAGGGGAAGGAAGCCAGGTGGATACAGCTGCCCACTTCCTTTCCTGGCTGGGAGGACTGGGTAGCACCACAGGGACGATGTGCTATATATTTCAGTGCCTATCCCAGACATATGGGGTGGTAACTGAGTTTGTGTTATATGTTATTTTAATAAATGGACAATGCTCTCTTCCTGTTATTCAAAGGAGCCAGGGTTTCATTCGGCCTTTTTTCTTGGAAATGAGGGTTGGCTGTAAATGAACAGGAGCCCTGGTAGGAGGTGACAGCAGGGCTAGACTTAGGTCCCACCAAAGGAGTTCTTTACACCACCATTTCCCAATATGCACTCCATGGAAAGCCAGCCCTGAGCTGGTCCTCCAAGAACAGGTTCAATGTGTTGTCGCTCTGGTTCTCCAGAAAACAGAGCCTGAGGCAAAGTTTAAATGCTGTAGTTGCATATATAGGTCCCCAGGGAAAAGTTCCCCTGTGCCTACTGAAGGTTCACCAAAAATCATTAAGGCTGGGCGCAGTGGCTCATGCCTGTAATCCCAGCACTTGGGGAGGCTGAGGCAAGCGGATCACCTGAGGTCAGGAGTTCGAGACCAGCCTGACCAACATGGTGAAACCCTGTCTCTACTAAAAATACAAAATAAGCTGGGCATGATGGCGCATGCCTGTAATCCCAGCTACTTGGGAGGCTGATGTATGAGAATTGCTTGAACCCAGGAGGCAGAGGTTGCAGTGAGCCAAGATCACCCCACTGCACTCCAGCCTGGGCAACAATATCAAAACTCCATCTCAGGAAAAAAAAAAAAAAAGAGGCAGGTTTTTTTTTTTTTTTTTTTAAAGATGGGGTTTCACCATGTTGGCCAGGCTGGTCTTGAACTCCTGACCTCAGGTGATCCACCCACCTCGGCCTCCCAAAGTGCTAGGATTACAGGCATGAGCCACCGTGCCCGGACAAAGAGGCAGGTTAATAGGAGAAAAGGCACACAAATACACACATTTATTTGACTGTGGTTTTATGAGACACAGGAGTCTTTACAATGAAGACCCAAAGATACAGGAGAAACTTTCATTTTTAGGCTTAGGTTCAACAAAGTATGGACGGCTGTGTAGAAATGCGACTGGACAAAGGGGCCTGGTCTAATGCTGACAGACAGAGTTGGAAGCCAGCAGGGCCTGTCTGTCCAGATTCTTCTCGGCTCCAAACCACAGGTTTTGTAAAAAAGGGGAAAAAACAAAAAAGAAAAGAAAAAAGATATATAAGAGATTTTTCTGCGCCTGTCTCCTTGCAGCATTCCTTCTTTCTTCATATGGGGCAGGACTCTCTCTGGATGGAGGTCTTCTGACCTATAATCAGACAAAGGTCAAAGGTCAAATGATTTCCTGTAGCCAGTTTTACACAGAAAGGAAAGGGAAAATTGAACAAGTGTTTTTAATTTTTTTTCTGCGATGGAGTCTCACTCTGTTACCAGGCTGGAGTGCAGTGGTGCAATCTCAGTTCACTGCAAGCGATTCTCCTGCCTCAGCCTCCTGAGTAGCTGGGACTGCAGGCACGAGCCACTATGCCCTGCTAATTTTTGTATTTTTAGTAGAGATGTGTTTCACCATATTGGCCAGGATGGTCTTGGTCTCTTGACCTCGTGATCCACCCGCCTCAGCCTCTCATAGCCCTGGGATTACAGGCATGAGCCACCTCTCTCGCCTGGAGTAATATTTTTAGGCTTTATGGCAGGCTTTGGGGAAGAGGGATTGTAGTTTTTATGACTAGCCTTGGGGAAAAATAAGGGGTCAGAGATAGGAGGGCAGGAGAAGGTCAGAGAGGAAGGTTTGTTTCTGGGGCCTTCCTTTCTAGGTATTGTTTTCTGAGACCCTACCAGGTACACTCCTGAGGCCAACAGAGGGAAGCAAAATGGAAGTGAAGTAGGCACAGAGGGGAGCAGGTACAACGTGTTGCATGGCTGAGCAGGCCACAGCTTCTCCAAAGACTGGGCTGGTTGCTCAGTCATGTGAGATGTTTCCAGCAGGCAGTAAAGAACAGAAAGTGATTCAAAGTCCTTTACCTGAGAGAAGAAAAGAAAGAAATGTGTCTTCTGGCTCCTTCCTGTCTCCCGCTTCCCACACTGTTCATCCCACCTTGTCTTCGGGTGGCTCCCACCTTGACTTCGGGTGGCGCAGCTGCAGGGGGAGCAAGGTCACCTGCCACACAGGGTGGGATTGCAGTTGCATCTAGAAGTGATGGGAGGTGTCAGGGCCTCCATGGTCCAGTTGGGTTGGACAAAGGTTGGGGAGCTACTGCTGTCTCCACCTCAGTGAACACAATGGAGGCCAGGTTGGTGCCCAGACTTATTCCAGGAAAGGCCAAGTCAGCCACCAGCACTAGGGCATGAAGCCATGACCGTGGCATCCAGGATCTCCAGAAGCCAGAAGCCAGGGGCCTGGAGAGAGGTGAGGCTGAGCAAATCCAAGACAGTGCATTCACTGGGGCTGATAAGCCAAGGACTTGTAACTTTGAGGAGCACTGCTGAGCCTGTTCCCCCATTAGTCATTCAGATCACAGCAGCAAGTTAAGGGGTCTGAGTAGTCCCGCAGTAAAGAAAGCGAATTAACTTTAGACCATCAGGTTCATGGTTCTTGGATTGCTGCCTGACCCTACGCCTCTCATTTTGTATATGTGGACTGAACTTCCAAACCTATGCATATGACATCCTCCAGAACTAGAGTGATGTGGAACTCGCTTCAGGAGCGCTCGAAAACCCTCACAACCTCGGCCCGTTTTCACTTCTGGGAGTTTTTCTAAGGCTAACTCAGTTCCTAACTTTGAATTTCAAGGAATCAGATTTTTGCTCTCATTTCCAGTCCTTTCTGAAGTTTTTAAAACATGGTGTAATACACATATACACCCATACAGTGCACGAAACTACTCGTACAGTTTAATAAACTATTGTAAAATGAAACCCTATGTTACTATCACTCAGGTAAAAAAAAAAAAAAAAAAAAGAAAGAACATTGCCAGCCCTCAGAAGCCCTCCATGTACCCCTCTAGCAGAAAGAGAAGCTGTCAATTTTTTTTTTTTTACAATCACATACTTGTTTTTCTTTATCGTTTGATTTCCCAAAGTATCCTCCCATAGAAAACTAAAGGAATTTGAAGCCAGAAGGAAGAATCTGAGGCTAGAAAGACAGAGGCTTCATCACCTTGAAATCACAAAAATCAGTATTACAACGTGTGCATGTTCTGTTACTTCTCCAGACTACTGATTTTGTAAGCAACAAGCGTTTCAGCCCCACATCTTGTCACTTACTGGGGAAAAGAGAGAGCAGTCGAGACTTTAGGTAATCAGTTAAAGCTTAAATTCCAGGAAAATACCTGTTAATTGTGTAAGGTCTGACCGCGCCGTGGATGGCATGGCGAGCCCCGTGAACTGCATGTGCACCTCTGGAGGGCCTTCCAGAATTAGAAAACATGAAATGGCTGTAAGATCGCAGAAAGAGGAAGAAATGATCAACCCCTGTGGCACCTACTTAACTCTGAGACATTCTCTATTGTTTCTTATTCTGGCCTCAATTGACAAGGCCATTGGATTTTGTAACCGAGCTTGGCCAACCTCCTGACTCCACACCCTACAACCCCCTCCCAGCCTGCAAACCTATGACCCCCTCCCAGCATGCAACAAACCACCAACTGGCCAGGTGAGGTGGCTCATACCTGTAATCCCAGCACTTTGGGAGGCTGAGGCAGGCAGATCACCTGAGGTCAGGAGTTCAAGACCAGCCTAACAAACATGGAGAAACCCCAATTCTACTAAAAATACAAAACTGGCCAGGTGTCGTGGCTCATGCCTGTAATCCCAGCTACTTGGGAGGCTGAGGTAGGAGAATCGTTTGAACCCAGGAATTTGAGGTTGCAGTGAGCTGAGATTGTGCCATTGCACTCCAGCCTGGGCAACAAGAGCAAAACTCCATCTCAAAAAACAAAAACAAAACAAAACCAAAAAAGCCAATTGTAACTTCTGTAATTTTCCACAGGCCACCCCAAACCTACAAAACTAACTCCTATCCCACCGCCCTCCACTGACACCCTTTTTGGCCTCAGCCCACCAGTGAATAAACAGCCATATTGCTCACACAAAGCCTGTTTGGGGGGTCTCTTCATTCAGAGCACACATTTAACATTTGGTGTTGAAACCCAGGACAGGGGTACTCCTCTGGGGACACCAGCCCCTGTCCCTGCTCCCACTCTGAGAAGAGACCCACCTGAAACCTCAACACATCAGACCAGACCAGACCAGCAGCTTGTGCTTAGCATGCTGAATAGCTCTCTCACCACCTTCAGATCGGGTAAGCAAGCAGTCTCCCCCCCTTTCTCTCCCTTTTCCTTTATATTAGGGGAGACAATGGCCGGGCACGGTGGCTCATGCCTGTAATCCCAGGACTTTGGGAGGCTGAGGCGGGTGGATCAGGAGGTCAAGAAATCAAGACCATCCTGGCCAACGTGATGAAACCCCGTCTCTACTAAAAAATCCAAAAATTAGCTGGGCGTGGTGGTGTGTGCCTGTAGTCCCAGCTACTCGGGAGGCTGAGGCAGGAGAATTGCTGGAATCCAGGAGGCAGAGATTGTAGTGAGCCGAGATTGTGCCACTGCACTCCAGCCTGGCGCCTGACTACAGAGCAAGACTCTGTCTCAAAAAAAAAAAAAAAAAAAAAATGGAGAAGGGGAGTATTTCGCCCTCTGTCTTTTCCTTTAGAGAATGGGAGACAAGTCTCTCTCCTGACTCTCTTTTCCTTCAAATCTTTCTCCTTCCAGTAGAGACGAAGAGACAGTCTTTATCTGTGTGGAGCCAAAGGAGACAAGTCTCCCTCTCATTCAAAAACTCCGATGTTGGTCACAGACTCGGGAAGACAAGACTCTTCCCTCGGTGTCTGGTCAATTGCAGGGATGCACCCACGTTACAGCCCAGGAATCAGGCAGGCAGGCCTACTGAAAACACTGGTAGCTGCTCACTCCTTCTCCTAGTCTCTACTCCTTTCCTTAAAACTTACCTCCTTCGCTATGGGCAAAATTCAGCCCTCTGTTCCTCAATCCTCACCTCTAGCCTGAGTCCTATAAAGCCTAAAACCTCTTCAACTGTCGCCTGATCTGAAGCCTAAATTTCTCTGTAACACAGCCTGGCCTCAGTCCAAATGGCCAGAAGATGGCACTTGCAATTTTTCTATTCTGCGAGACTCAAACCATTTTTGTCAACAAATGGGCAAATGGTCTAAGGTGCCACACGTCCAGGCATTTTTTTTAACACTCTAATCCCTCCCTAATCTCTGCTCCTTCTCTCCCTACTGCCCCTCCTGCCTCCACCAGTAACCCAGAATCCTCCTTGACCATCAATCCTTCCAACATTTCTCCTCCCTGCCTGTCCAATCCAGGCCCCATTCCAGGCCCAACCCCACCCCCAGAGCCTTCCTCCTCTTCCTCTGCCCACAACCCACCTCCTTATGCCCCTCCTGTCACCTCCCACCTCATACCTGGTCCGGCTTACAGTTTGGTCCTGCAGCTAACTCCTCTGTCCCTGCTCAACAATTCCCCTTTGCAGAGATGGCTGGAGCTGAAGGCATATATAGGGCGCACGTTCCTTTCTCTTTATCTGACCTTTCCCAAATTGATGACTGGTTAGGCTCCTTTTCATCAGGTCCTCCAATACTTAACCCAGTCCTACAGTCTCACCTGGAGTGACTTAAATATCATCCTTATTTCTACTCTCACCCCTGAAGAACGCTTAACCTGTATTTTATCACCTGATCAGCCCCTAACATCAAAAAAGCTACAGAAATTAAAATCTGGCCCTCAAACCCCACAGGAGGAATTAATTAACTTCACCTTTAAGGTGGTCAATGATAGGGAAGGGTCTGTCTGGTGACAGCGCATCTCAGAACTACAGATGCTTGCCTCTGCCGTAAGACAAACCCCAGCCACACCACAAGCTCACAAAGACTTCAAAGCACCCAGACCACAGTGTCCAGCCACCCCACCTGGACCTTGCTTCAAAGTGTTGAAAACCTGGCCACTGGGCCAAGGAATGCCAGCAGCCTAGGATTCTTTCTAAGCCCTGCCCTGTCTGTGTGGTCTCCCCACAGAAAGTCAGACCCTCTGACTCACCTCACTGCTCCCAGAGCTCCTGGAGCTCCAAACCAAAGCTCCCAGACCAAATTGGCTTGGTGGCTGAAGACACACTGCCTGAGCATCTTGAAAGCTCCCTGGACCATCACAGATGCTGAGCTTCAGGTGACTCTTACGGTGGAGGTTAAGTCCACCCCCTTCTTAACACAGGACCACCTACTCCACGTTGCCTTCTTTTCAAGGACCTGTCTCCTCAGCCTCCATAACTGTTGTGGGAATTGACGGAAAGGCATCCAGGCCTCTCAAAACTACTCAAGTGTAGTATCAATTAGGCCGGCACCCCTTTCCACATTCCTTCCTAATCATCCCCACTTGTCCAGTTCACCTGTCAGGCCCAGATACCCTAGCAAAATTGTCTGCCTCCTTCACTATTCCTGGGCTACAGCCACACCTCATTGCTACCATCCTCCCCAAACTGATACCTCCTTCAACAGCTCTCCTTATGTCCCCCTACCTTAATCCTAGGGTGCAGGACACCACCTTCGCATCCATCGTTACAAGTCACTCACCCCTCATCATCCGCTTCAAACCTAACCACCCTCACCCGCACAGCACCAGTACCCCATCCCATAACAGGCTTTAAAGCCCGTTATCACCCATCTATTGCAACACGGCCTTTTAATTCCTACAAACTCTCCTTACTATTTCCCTATCCTACCTGTCCAGAAACCAGACAAATTCTACAGACTAGTCCAAGACCTCTGCCTCATCAATCAGATCGTACTTCCCATCCACCAGGTTGTACCAAACCCCTATGTCCTCCTATGTTCCATACCCCCTTCCACAACTCACTATTCTGTTACCTAACACAAACCCTGAACCCCATGACTCTATCTCCCGCCCTCTTTGTGTTCCTTTACATTTCACCTCAAGAGCCCTGCTACCCACATTAACCAAAAATCAGGAGCATATGAACTGTGCATTACAGAATAACCCTCCCTTAACACTAGCAGCCTTAAAAATGTCAATAGCCGGTTTTGCCTATGAAGGCATTTACCCTGTCTCTTACTTTACCCTTGGCTACTTTTGCCTTGCTCCTCAGACTCTCCTCCAGACCCCTCTTCCTGTCTGCTCACACCCAATCTTGTTAATGAAAATGAGTGATTACTTATAGATACCACATGCTTTCTCATACACCATGAAAACAAGAGCTCTCCCTCCACACAGTCACCCTACCAAACCCCACTACAACTTTTAACAGCCACAGCCCTTGCTGGTTCCCTGGGCATTTGGGTCCAAAGCTTCAGCCCCCTCAACACACTTTCTCACACTTTCAGTTTACACTTCCGATTCTGTCTAAGCCAAGGACTTTTTTTTTCCTCTGTGGTTCTTCTTCTTACATCTGCCTCCCTATCAACTGGACAGCACTTGTACCCTAGTTCTCCTTACTCCCAAAATTCAGTTTGCCAACAGGGATGAAAGCCTCCCTGTTCCCCTTGTGGTCCCGACAGGATACCAGCAGGTCATTCCATTAATCCCCCTACGTGTTGGGTTAGGAATTACTACTGCACTCGGCACATGCAGAGCAGGCCTTACCACTTCGACTGTCACCTTCCGTGGCCTCTCTAATGATTTCTCTACTAGCACTGCAGAATTAACTCAATCGCTATCCCTTCTTCAGGCTCAAATAAATTCCCTAGCTGCAGTTGTCCTCCAAAACCACAGAGATCTTGATTTACTGACTGCTGAAAAATGAGGTCTTTGCCTATTCCTAAATGAAGAATGTTGTTTTTATGTAAACCGGTCCAGCCTTGAATATAATGCCATCAATAAATTAAAAGAGCCCAAAAGCTCACTAATCACGCAAATGGCTACTCTGGAGCTAGCTGGATTGGCTGGATTGGTTGGACACTCTCTAACTGGGAATCATGGCTTCTTCCCATCCTTAGTCCTCTAATACCTATTTTTCTCTTATTTGGACCCTGTATTTTCCGATTAATCTCTCAATTCCTACAAAATCGTATACAAGCAAAAACCAGAATCAGACAATATGACAAATGCTCCTTCTAACGACCCCACAATATCACCCTTTGCCCCGAAATCTCCCAGCAGTCTAAATTCTTTCCCATTTTTAGGTTTCCGTGCCACCCCCAATCCCACTCAAAGAAGCCCTGAGAACTATCACCCCATCACCCTTCTGTGCCAGCCTTCCTAACATTCCACTGCCCCCCACTCTTCATTTCTTTTTCCTTTATATTACTAACATTAAAAGACAGGAATGTAAGGTCTGATCACAACGTGGATGGCAAGGCGACCCCTGTGAACTGCATGTACACCTCTGGAGGGCCTTTCAGAATTAGAAAACCTAAAATCACTGTAAGATCGTAGAAAGAGGAAGAAATGATCTGTGGGTGGGGGGGTCCCATAAGTGCCAAAGCAGGAGCCAGAAGCCTCAGCCTATTTCCATATAAATAATGAAGAAGGAAGTAACTAGAAATATAACCGTAGTAGTTATTATTCATAGCTGATCCAAATTCTTTTACTAATGCCTCTCAGGTCAGAAGTGTGAACCTGGGGTGACACTGTGAAAGAAATGACCCTAAGGCAAGACGCCTGAAGCCCTCTGTCAATCCCATGTAAGGGCTGCTGGAGGCGCCTTTGCTGTTTGGCCGTGCCAGCTCGGAAAGCGCCTGCTGTTTAGCCAGCTAGGGAAGGAGACATTCAAAATAGCTGAGATGTCTCCTTCCTCAGGGGAGTTAGGAGAAAAATCCGCTCCTCCAAGCTTTTGCAGTAGGCCTGATAGCTGTCAGGCAGGCCCACAGACATCCAGGGGCTTAAATGTCTCTATGTGATGCTGTGCTTCAGTGGTCATGTCCATGTCCACGCTCATGTTCTACTTCTGCACCTGGTTCCTTTTTTCTTAGAAGAGATCATCAGTAAAAGGAACACAAATCTTAATGTCTTTGTTCTATCCTAACAAGTATGGAAAAGTGCTCACCCATTATGCGTTTCACCATGTTGGTCAAGCTGGTCTTGAACTCCCGACCTCAGGTGATCTGCCTGCCTTGGCCTCCAAAGTGCTTGGATTACAGGAGTGAGCCACCACGCCCAGCCGATAAAGGTTTTCTTTTAAAAAAAAAATCATAACCTTGGGACCAGCCTGGCCAACATGGTGAAACCCTGTCTCTACTAAAAATACAAAAAATTAGCTGGGCATGGTGGCATGTGCCTATAATCCCAGCTACTCAGGAGGCTGAGGCGGGAGAATTGCTTGAACCCAGGAGGCAGAGGTTGCAGTAAGCCGAGATTGTGCCATTGCACTCCAGCCTGTGTAACAAGAGCAAAACTGTCGAAAGAAAGAAAGAAAGAAAGAAAGAAATACACAAAGAAAGAAAGAAAGAAAGAAAGAATGAAAGAAAGAAAGAAAGAAGGAAGGAAAAGAAAGAAGGAAGGAAGGAAGGAAGGAAGGAGGGAAAGAGAGAGAGAGAAAGAGAAAGAAAGATCATAACCATTATACATAAAAATGAACAATAATGCCACAATAGCACCAGAGAATTGTAAAAATACAGATTCCCAGGCCCTGCCCCAGACCTACTGAATCTTAGAAATATGCAGGCTTCACACCTAGAGATTCTGGTTCGGTTGGTCTGATGCAGGACCTGTAACCAGAATTGTAACACCTCCAGATAATGCTGAGCCTGCTGGTGCTCAGGTAGACCTGAAGAAAACCAGGAAGTCTGAGGTTTTCCAGAAGAAAACCAAAGTCCCGAGAAGACAGAGGCACTCAGTGAGCACTCAAGCAGAGCAGGCGAATGTCACATCCTCACTTCTGGCATCCTTTCTCCTACAAGAGGAGAGACTGAAAGACCCAGTGGTGTTGCCAAGAGGCCTGCGCCTCTGACTCTTGTCTCTGTGAAAGCCCACACTCACCAAGCCTATGGTCCTAGCGACCAAGGGTGCTGGGGATGACGAACTGACTAGACAGGGAGGTCTCCTGCAGCTTGTTTCTACACAGAGGACACCTGTCAGAGGCCAGCTAGGGGCCACAGGCCCCCCCAATCTCCAAGAACCCCAGGGTAAGGAGGCTGCTTCAAGTGGGTGGGGCACCAAGCTTGCCAGGAGGGACAGGGCTTCTCCCAGCGGTACCAACACGGTGGCACCTTCTGCCTGCATTTCCCAGGCTTGCTGGTCGGCCCCTGGGGGGAGGGGAGAAGGGGTGGCCGCCGTGGCGGTGGTCGGCTCTGCCTCTATGGCGACTGCCGTTGACACTGTTCTCTGTGCGGATGGAGATAAAGCCGGTAACTCCAGCTGTTTTGTTTTGTTTTGTTTTGTTTTTGAGACGGAGTTTCGCTCTTGTTACCCAGGCTGGAGTGCAATGGCGCAATCTCGGCTCACCGCAACCTTCGCCTCCTGGGTTCAGGCAATTCTCCTGCCTCAGCCTCCCGAGTAGCTGGGATTACAAGCACGCGCCACCATGACCAGCTAATTTTTTGTATTTTTAGTAGAGACGGGGTTTCACCATGTTGACCAGGATGGTCTCGATCTCTTGACCTCGTGATCCACCCGCCTCGGCCTCCCAAAGTGCTGGGATTACAGGCGTGAGCCACGGGGCCCTGCCGTCACTCCAGATTCTAATCAGAGCACACAGGAGAGGAGCTGGCGCTGCTTCAGTGGCGAGGATGGTTGATCAGTCCCAGCCGATGCTAGGGAGAAACACTGGTCCCAGCCTGAGGGCGGCACAGCCCACCCCAGGACCCTCCTAGCGGGAGGGCAGGAACGCAAGCTGACCTCGGTAGTCTCCGGCCTGAGAGGGGAACATGATCAAGCCCAGGGCAGCCGCCAGTCGGAGGGGGCAGACGCGGCCCCAGGAGTCTCTGGAGACCCTCTTCCGAGGCAAGGAGCCACAGTCCTGTCATTGGGACCACCAAAGAGGATTTCTACAAACCAAGGTCGAGAACCTTTCTGTGGGAACGCGGCCCACTCTGCGCGGGAGAGGAAGCGCAGCCGTCACCCCGTTCTCACTCAGCAACACCGGGCGCCGCGCCTGGCGAAGGCTGGCAGGCTTCTCGCGACCCGCAGGTGGGCTCCACGTGCCCCAAGGACGCAGGCACCGGTGCGCGGGGCCGCAGCCCGGCGCCTTTTGCAGCCGGCCACCCCGCCCCTTCCCCGGGGGCTTTTGCACACGACGCGCCGCGGGCCGCTTCACACGGGGTGGCGAGGCCCGGATAAAGTCGGCGGCCGCGGGGCTCAGCGGCGGACCTGAGACCTGGGGCGCTAGGCGCGCGGAGCCAGAGCCGGAGCAGCAGCCGCAACTGCAGCCGGGGGACCGCAGGGGCCGAGTCGGAGAAAGCGCAGCTCGCGGGTGAGCGCCACCCGGAGTCCCGCGCGCAACTTCCAGGGCGCACTCGGCGGGCGGCCGCGGCGCTGCCGCTACCCGGCGCGGGGCAGCATGGAGGCCACGGAGAAGCAGCACCTGTTGGACGCCAGGCCCGTAGTCCGGTACGACGAAAGCCTGGAGCCAGGCGGGAATTTGGGCGGCAGCCGACGCACCTCCGCGCTTGCCATCCTAGCAGTGGTTCGTTTTGGCGGCGGCTTGAGCTGGGGCCACGTAGGAAGGGTGGGGTGAGGTGAGGGAAGGGTGGATGAGGTGAGGGCTGTGGCCCAAGGTCCCCTGGGGCCCAGCACAGATCCTGACCCCTGCCCGCGGGGAGCCTGGGGTCGGGTGAGTGGCGGTTCCCCTGCCTGGAATCCCGCCCCGCCCAGCACTTTGCCCCAGGCAGTCCCGCCCTGGGGAGGCCCTGTTGGAGGGGGGCCTGCTCTTCTCCCAGAGCCTGCACTCTGTTCCTTCCCCGTGCTCCACTGGACTGCACGCCCCTTGGCCGGTTCCCAGGGTCTTCTCCTCCTCTGGCCTCTGAAGGGATTGAGGAGAAGGAACACCCCGGGACCAGGACCCCAACACTCCCATTCCCTTAGCATCCCCGTCTGAACACAGGCTTCTCACCTCTGGTCACTCCTCAGGGATTGTCAACTTAGAGTGTCCTTAGCTATTTTTCCCAGTGGACACAGGCCTCACAGAGAAATGGGACCAGAGGCCGCCCTCCTTGCCCCATCTCAGAGCTGAGCATGCCCCCTCTCTTACTCTCTGGCCAGGCCATACATGGGATCTCTGTGGCAGGAGGGGGCTGGCTGGATCCCTCTGTCCCGACCTGGTCTGGACTTGCAGGCCATTGAGCTGGCTGTGGAGAGCAATCATTACTGCCATGCTCCGAAGAGTCCTAGCAGTGACTGTGACCCCAAGAAGGGGCAGGCCCGGCGCCAGCTCTACATAGCCTCTGCCATCTGCCTGGTGTTCATGATCGGAGAAGTCATAGGTAAGTACTTTTGGGCTAATTAAATGAAGTAGGTGCATGGATAGACTGGATATTCCCAGCAATACTGACGCTAATAGCCCCTCTTACTGAACACTCACCATGCCAAGCCTTTGTGTACACATTAGCTGATGCAGGGCTAACAACAACCTGTGTTATTACATGGGTGACGTTTTTTCTTATTTTACAGACCATGAAACCAAGGCATGTTCAGTTAAGTAACTTGCAAAGATTATACACAGCTAGTAGCTAAGGGAAGGCCTGAATTCCTAGAAGGAAAGAGCATTTACCGAATAGCTACTCTGCTTTCCAGTCCCTATGTGAACTTGATGTGCACATCCACCCTCTAAGATGTTGGTGGCCCTTTTCACAGGGAGTGGAAGTTGAGGCTGAGAGAGAGTAGGTTGCTTGCTCATGGTTGTACAGCTCATGGGTGGAGAGATCCTGAACTCAGCATGGCTTTTTCCAGAGCCTGTGGTCTCCCTGCTGCACACACAGTCTGGGAAGCCAGGTCTCTGGGGAGCTGATAAGGACCCTGCACCCTCTGGCCCTGCCCCTGCAGGTGGGTACCTGGCACACAGCTTGGCTGTCATGACCGACGCAGCACACCTGCTCACTGACTTTGCCAGCATGCTCATCAGCCTCTTCTCCCTCTGGATGTCCTCCCGGCCAGCCACCAAGACCATGAACTTTGGCTGGCAGAGAGCTGGTGAGGATTGCAGTTTGGCTGGATATGGGGTTGAGAGAGAGGGTGAGTTAGAACAGGGGTTCTTAGGTAGCTATAATGGGTGGATCCCCCATTCCTCCCCCAAGTGAGGCCAGGAGGGTAATCTGGATGGGGGATGGGGGAAGAGAATATCAACCATGGCCTCTGTCCTCTGGTAAATTCCAGTCTTACGGGGAGCCCTGGTTTCTGTCATCCAGGAGCTCTCAGTCTGCAGGGAAGCAAAGTTCACTGTCCTAAGAAGTGCAGTAGTGGGACGGGCACAGTGGCTCATGCCTGTAATCCCAGCAGTTTGGGAGGCGGAGAGGGTCAGATTACCAGGTCAAGAGATCAAGACCATCCTGGCCAACATGGTGAAACCCCATCTCTACTAAAAATACAAAAATTAACTGGGCGTGGTAGCGCACACCTGTAGTCTCAGCTACTCAGGAGGCTGATGAAGGAGAATCGCTTGAACCCGGGAGATGGAGGTTACGGTGAGCCGAGATCATGCTACTGCACTCCAGCCTGGCCACAGAGCGAGCCTCCATCTCAAAAAAAAAAAAAAAAAGAAGCGCAGTAGCCAAGCTTCAAGAACAAATGACAATGGCATTAACACTGCATATAAATCTGTGGATCAGCTCTGGGGGGAGGGGAAGGCCAGCAAAGCCTGCTGGAAGGTATAGGTTCTAACCTCTCTTCTGTTCTCTTGGGGCTGCGTCGTCATCTTCCTCTTTTTGGGAGATGGCCCAGCCTCTCTTACCCAGAAGCCTCAGTTTACTAGCTGGACAAAAGGCATATATTTTAATAAGCCAGTTTCTTTATATGTACAATAAAAAAGGTGGACCCAGATGATGACTTACTAGTTCCTTCTAGCTCTGACATTCCCAAATATAGAGTGGTGGGGTAAGGAGCAGCTATGCCAGCCATAGCTTCAGCAGAGCCCAGTGGGACCCAGGCCTTGACTTTGTGTTGGGGGTGGGTGGGGAGGATCCTGAAGGAAGAGGGAAACCTCCTTAGCCTCAGGGCCCATGCCGAGGTGGGTATTGGGGTTTCGTTCTTCCTCAGAGATCCTGGGAGCCCTGCTTTCTGTGCTGTCCATCTGGGTGGTGACCGGAGTACTGGTGTACCTGGCTGTGGAGCGGCTGATCTCTGGGAACTATGAGATTAACGGGGGGACCATGCTGATCACGTCGGGCTGCGCTGTGGCTGTGAACATCATGTGAGCGGGGCCCTGGTTCCCCTCCCCCTCCCACCTCTCACACCCATACCTGTATCTGCTTTGTGGAAGGAGACAGTACCACTTTCCAGCATAGAGCACAGGGACAGAGCTTCCCTAACGGTCTGAGCTCTGGCACCTGGAACACCTGGGTAGTATCATAGGCCTAGGCCAAGAACACTGGAAGCTGTAAATCTGAGTCTGAATCAACCCTACCCACTCCCTGATACATATCAGGGACTAACCTGGGTGGCTTCATACCTAAAGTGGGGTGGGAAAAGGCTAGTTGTTGCAGGAGTGGATGTCCCTAGGGGCAGAACCCAAGTCTGAAATTGGTCTCAGTTAGAGACTGTGGTATACCGAGCATGGGTGTCTCTTTCGGGCTCCTTATCTCCTTTGCTCAGAGCCTCAGTTACCCCATCTGTGACATGATGGAGTGAATTTACAGTGACTTCTGTAATGCTCTCCTGCTCCGAGATTTGGCATTGTGGCATTGTTGTGCCCAGACTCAGCTTGGCCTTGGAGCTGAGCCCTATCTCCCGTGGCTCTCTGAACCAAGGCCACATGGGTTGGACTTCTCACATGGCCAAAGAGATCACAGGGTATGGGGGCTTGAGATTTTTGCCCCGCAAGTTGGCTAGCCCTAATAGGTGACCTCCATCTGCGACCTCAGTGAGCCCTTGGCTTTGTCTCCACTTCCATAGAATGGGGTTGACCCTTCACCAGTCTGGCCACGGGCACAGCCACAACACCAGCCAGCAGCAAGAGAACCCCAGCGTCCGAGCTGCCTTCATCCATGTGATTGGGGACTTTCTACAGAGCGTGGGTGTCCTAGTAGCAGCCTATATTTTATACTTCAAGGTCAGAGCTGGGGACACAGGGCAGTGGGGGTGGCAGAGGAGTGTAGACCACCTGGGTATCCTGTCTGCAGGGGCCCCCTTTTCAAATTCTAGCTCCCTCCCAGTTCTGGGGAAAGGGGTGGTGAAAGGAAAGGAACATTTATCCGATACCTACCAAGTGTCGGTACTTCTGATCCTCACAACAACCTGAAGAGTAGGTGGTAGTGTTTTCTGTATCTCAGAAAGGTGCACTGACTTGCACAGTGTCACACAGCTGGTAAGGCATAGAACCAAATTCAAACTCACAACTGTGTGTTGTCAAACTCTGAGCAGTGCCCATCACATAGAGGCAAGGAGCTATAGTGGAAAGAGCCAAGCATTGGCGTTGCTCTGAAGCTGGGCTTTCCTCCTTGCTAGCTGTGATGTTGGGTGAGTTGCTTGCCCTAATGAAGCCTCATTTCCCCATCTGTCAAATGGGGATGAATGTCAGATCAGATGGTGTCTAAGATTCCTTTTTGCTCTGTCCATGTCTCAGCTCCTTGAGAAGGAGGGGTGGGAGGGGACTGCTTCATTCTGAACTGTGGTCTGTCCTTTCTGCTCTTGCAGATGTGAAATAAAGAGTTGAAAACTGGGAGGCAGGGCAGAAGCGAGGCTCATGCCCACCCACCAGAGAGAGCCCCTCTCCCAACAGTGCTGGGTGGGAGGGGAGAAGGGAAGCAGAGGTGTTAGATGCCCTCCTTTCTTCCTGCAGCCAGAATACAAGTATGTAGACCCCATCTGCACCTTCCTCTTTTCCGTCCTGGTCCTGGGGACAACCTTGACCATCCTGAGAGATGTGATCGTGGTGTTGATGGAAGGTAACCTGGGCTTTGCAGCTCCCTTTTTGCTCTTGGCTGTCAAGCTCTAATCAGCTCAAATGGGATATGTGTGTGTCAGAGGTATCCCAGCACATGGGTGGGGAGCCATGACCTGGAGCCCCTGCATAGGCTGGAAAGCCTCCTGGGGCCCAGGGCTGATCTTGACATACAGCCTGGGCTTTTAGGTGTGGCAGTTCCTGGAACCATCCCCAGCCCAAGCCTTCCCTTCCCCCTAGCCCAAGGGTGCCTCCTCCTCTGCCTTGTCAGGTGGCTTCTGGGGTGACATCTGTAGCGTCTGGAGCTCTCCAGCCCTCCCTTATACACTTACTGAGTCTCTGGCCGCCTTCTCTCAGGAAGACAGAGCGGGTGAGATTATACATCCCATTGCACAGAGGGGCAGACTGAGGATCAGAAAAGGACAGTCAGTCTTGGACAAACCTACTGAATCCACTGCAATTCAGGCGTTTCCTACATCTCAGGGGCCAAACAATGCCATACCCTGGGAGGACATGGCTGTACCATGTGAGGCTGGAGAACTGTCAGTGGTGGAGAATGATCTGGTCTGCCCTGAATTACCTTTTATTATTTATTTTTTTTGAGGTGGAGTTTCATTCTTATTGTCCAGGCTGGAGTTCAATGGTACAATCTCGGCTCACTGCAACCTCTGCCTCCCGAGTTCAAGTGATTCTCCTGCCTCAGCCTCCCGAGTAGCTGGGATTACAGGCATCTGCCACCATGCCCAGCTAATGTTTGTATATTTTAGTAGAGAAGGGGTTTCTCAAAACTAGGCTGGTCTCGAACTCTTGACCTAAGATGATCCACATGCCTCAGCCTCCCAAAGTGCTGGGATTACAGGCATGAGCAACCGTGCCCAGCCTTTCTTTTTTTTGAAACAGGGTCTTGCTCTGTCATCCAAGCTAGAGTGCATTGTCGACACCACAGCTCACTGCAGCTTTGACCTCCCAAGCTCAAGTAATCCTCCTGCCTCAGCCTCCCAAGAAGTTGGGGCCACAGGCGCATGCCACCATGTCTGGCTAACTTTTAAATTTTTTGTAGAGACAGGGAGGTCTCACCATGTTGCCCTGGCTGGTCTTAAACTTTTGGGCTCAAGCAATTGTCTCACTTCAGACTCCCAAAGTACTGGATTACAGATGTGAGCCACCACACCTGGTCCTGCACCTTGGTTTTCTTTTGCTCTAGTCCTGGGGTCTTGGGCCAGGGTCCTAGGCCTCTATGTGGTCAGGGTCAGTCTGAAATTGAGTAGGATGCTGGCCTGGGCTTAGCAGGATTATCTGGCTGCAGGTCAGAGCTTTTTCTCCAAGAATATGATGGACTCAGAAAAAAACGATCATGATGAAGATGATGATTGCGCCCTGGATGGGTCTAAGGATTCTCAGGATCTGTTCTTTTCTTCTTTCCATTAAAAAGTATATTTATTGGATGGGTGCAGTGGCTCACATCTGTAATCCCAGCATTTTGGGAGGCCGAGGCAGGCAGAGGTCAGGAGTTCGAGACCAGCCTGGATAACACAGTGAAACCCTATCTCTACTAAAAATACAAAAATTAGCCAGGCATATCAGCACACACCTATAGTCCCAGCTACTCAGGAGGCTGAGGCAGGAGAATTGCTTGAACCTGGGATGGGAAGGTTGCAGTGAGCTGAGATATGCCATTGCACTCCAGCCTGGGCGACAGAGCAAGACTCCATCTCAAAAATAAATAAATAAATATATATATATATATATATGTATATACACACAGACACACACACACACACACACATATATATATTTGTTTATTGAGCACCTACTATGGAGTAGGCACTGTTCTAGGCACCAAGGATACTGTGGTAAACAAAGGAGACTGTCCTGCCCTCATGGAGTGTCCATTTTTAGAGGGGAGACTAACAATAAGTAAATTCACAAATAATTTCAGACAGTGTTAAGGGTGGAGAGGAAATGCAACAGAGTAATAAGGTGGAGAGCGTGGGAGGTGAAGGCAGCCTCAGACCTGCTGACCAAGGAGGTCTTCTTTGAGGGGATGACGCCTGAGGAGCAGGAGCCAGCCCTGCACCAATGGGCAGGCATGGGAGGGCAGTTTCCTTTAGCCCCTGTCTTGCCGTCCTCAGGGACCCCCAAGGGCATGGACTTCACAGCTGTTCGGGATCTGCTGCTGTCGGTGGAGGGGGTGGAAGCCCTGCACAGCCTGCATATCTGGGCCCTGACTGTGGCCCAGCCTGTTCTGTCTGTCCACATCGCCATTGGTGAGTGCTTGGGACACTCAGGGTGGGGTGGGAGACAGGCAGCCAAAGGTATGGTGCCATCCCCAGCAGGTCCAGGTGACCCCAGATGCTCACAGTGTCCATGCATCAGGCCCAGCTTCATGCTGAGTAGTTGATATGCATTATTCCATCTGATCATCACAATCTCATTTACCCATAAAGAAACTGAGGCTGGGGTTGGGTGGTAAGGTACTTGCCCAGGCCCCCTACCCTTTTGGTTTTTTTGAGACAGTTTCGCTCTTGCTGCCCAGGCTAGAGTGCAGTAGCAAGATCACTTGTACATGACTCACTGTAACCTGCACCTCCCGGGTTCAAGTGATTCTCCTGGCTCAGCCTCCTGAGTAGCTGGGCTTAGAGGTGTGCGCCACCCCTATCCCCACCCCCAATGCCCCTGCCCCCAACTAATTTTTTTTGCATTTTTAGTAGAGACAGAGTTTCTCTATGTTGGTCAGGCTAGTCTCGAACTCCCAACCTCAGGTGATCCGCCCACCTCAGCCTCCCAAATTGCTGGGATTACATGTAGGCATGAGCCACCACACCCGGCCCCAGGCTTTTACAGCTAGTATATGGCAGTAGGTGGCAGATTCCTGGCCCTAAGACCAATGCTTTCCCAGCTCTTTCAGGCATAAGCCAGGTCTGGGCTGGGAGGGTACCTGGCAGAGGAGTGGAATCTGGGGGTTTCTCCATGTTCATGGTCCCCCATCCTGTTCTGCTGAGGATGGGGTATGAGACTCGGGCTCCTGATGGTTCCAAAGGGCCAGGAGTAGTAAATAGCTTTCTGGTACCTCCCCCGCTGTGCCCTCTTGGCCCCCAGCTCAGAATACAGATGCCCAGGCCGTGCTGAAGACAGCCAGCAGCTGCCTCCAGGGGAAGTTCCACTTCCACACCGTGACCATCCAGATTGAGGACTACTCGGAGGACATGAAGGACTGTCAGGCATGCCAGGGCCCCTCGGACTGACTGCCTGGCCAGCTGCCAACTGGGCATGGACAGGACCTGCAGGTGGCTGGACTGAGTGTCCCCCAGGCCCAGCCAGGACTTTGCCTACCCAACCTGTGGTATAAACCGGGCCCCCCTCCTGACCTCTGCTTCATGTTCAGTACAGAGCCTTGCCCCATTTCAGGAATAGAGCTCTTCCCTGCCTCCCCCATCTGACTACAGCCAGTGCCAGGGTGGGGACTCAGCAGGTATACAACTAGTGTGACCCTGTTCCTCCAGCCCCCGGGCTAGGTCTGGAAAGGCTGTGTTTGGGCCTAATCCTCAGCAGATGTCGCTCTACCATTCGCAGGGACAAGGTAGTAAGCCACGGAACGTCCAAGGGGAGGCTGGCCCCAGTGCACCCCTACGGCCTGCTTTGTTCCCCATTTCAGCCTGGCTGGCCTTTGCCTTTATGACTCTGAGCCCTTTCCTCTGCCTTTAGCAATAGGGTTTAAGGAGGTCACAGGGGTGAGGACCCGACTCTCATTCCACCTGAGGCAGGGAGCCAGGAGGCACCTGAGGCTTGTCTGTGCCTTAGTCACCTCGGCTATGAACCAAATGTCCCCTTTCCGGGAGAGGAGAGGCTTCTTCCTAGATAAGGGGCTGGTTTCCTCTTTCCTTATGCCCTCAGCTGTGCCAATACAAAAAAGAACTTTGGTACAGATGGTGGTGGGGGGGCATACAGAGATTTCCTGGGTTCTGCATTAACAGCCTGTAAGCCCTCTGGCACTTCTGTGGCCCTGACAGTGTCCCCGGGGATTCCAAGCCTCCGGAAAGATACAGTGGGCCAGCTCTGCTGCCTACCTGGCCTGACCCAGTCGGAGCCTGGGTGTGGAGGAGGGAGAGGGAGAGAAGCGGGGCTGCCCTCGGCCCAGAGGCCAGCTAGGAGGGAGACCACGGCTTCCTGGGGCTTGTGTGTGAAGATTTCCAACTTAGGGGTGGCTTGTGTTTACAAGACGAAAGAGGGGAGACCTGTCCCCAGCTCATCCAGACAACTTACTCAGTTATCAGGGAGTCCTGTGTCACAGGGTCTGTCTCTGCCATTGTAAGCAAGTGCCTTGGGTGAGTTGGCCAAGGACCTGTGGTTGTTGTATGGTTACTTTCATCACCCTGGAGGCAGGGAACTCTGTGGCCTGAGGCTGCCTTACTGAGGAGTCATGAGGGCTTCCCAGCCTCCCCAGGGGCAGCAAGTTTGTCTTGACTCTGATTTGGCCCAAGGTGGGAGGAGGTGGGTTTGGTCACTTGCCTCCCACTTTAAATCTCTGTCTTTTCATCTGTGAAACGACCTCTTTGTGCCTTCCCAGCACTGTCATCTTGATCGCCTGTGTTCTAGGTCAGTGGGTCTTTCAGCCCCTCCAGGTCTATGTGGGGGAGGGGTGGGGGTTGCCGGCGGCTGCTCCATTCTACCACGATCTCAAGGGACTCAACCCTCTGACCGTCCCCTGCCGTGCCCAAGTCATGGCAGGCCCCCAGGAACTTGATCCTGGGCTTTGTTCTGTGCCAAGTCCTTACATCCCTCTCAAGAGACATCATTGGCTGGGCGTGGTGGCTCACGCCTGTAATCCCAGCACTTTGGGAGGCTGAGGCAGGCAGATGACTTGAGGCAAGGAGTTCAAGACCAGCCTGGCCAACATGGGGAAACCTCATTTGTACTAAAAATACAAAAATTAGCCAAGCGTGTGACATGTGCCTGTAATCCCAGCTACTCAGGAGACTGAGGCAGGAGAATCACTTGAACCCGGGAGGTGGAGGTTGCAGTGAGCCGGGATAGTACCACTGCACTCCAGCCCAGGTGACAGAGCAAGACTGCATCTCAAAAAAAAAGAGAGAGAGACCATCATTGCTATCCCACATTCTTATACGTGAAAAAAATGAGGCTCAGAGGTTGATTCATTTTCCTGAAGTACACAGCCAGTGTGGGCAGGACTGGGATTTCTGTCTTATTCCCCTAGACCTTCCTTTACAGCAGGGGCTGGGGGCCTGATCGGGGATGCATGTTGATACAATACGAACCCTTGGGACCAGCAGTGCCTGATCCACTGGCAAGGCCATGCCAAGGCAATTCAGTGTCCTGGGTGTCACAGCTGTGATTGGAAAGGTGCCTCTTTTCCCTGGCTGGACCTGGCACCCAGCGCCCTCCCCCCCGGGAAGGCTGCCTGGGCCGCAGCTGTATGCTTTCCCACCCACCCTCAGTTCTTGACTCTGGCCCAGACTGCCTGTCCCCCACCGCTTTCATTTCCAGTCCCCCCTGTAGCTCAAGCATCTCACAGCACCACACCTCCCAAGGGTGACCAACGCTGCCACCCAGCTGTGATTGGCTCCAGGGAGGATCTGAGTCATCCAGGGGCCCTACGTCCAGCTGGGGGGTGGGGGTGGAAGGCCTTGGAGAGGCCTAAGGGGACAGCATGTTCCTGCCAGTGAGCCAGTCACGGGAGTTTCCAGAGTTGCGAGGCCATCAAAGCAGGAAAACACCTGACACCCTGGACCTGGGCTGGACCAGCCACCCTCACCCTCTGGAGTCGACCCTGCTACCAGGCAAGCCCTAAGCCCTGAGCCCCTCCCTCCAGCAGCTGCTGTAAGGGTATTTATAGCCTAGAGCATGAGGGGGCAAGGACAAGCGCTTTATTTCGGAAGTGATAATTCCAGTTCCAGGTGGGTGAACCCGGGAGGACCTAGTGTCCCCACCCCAATTCCAGCCTCAACTATAGTCCCTGCTCGGGACAGTCCCCACTCGCGCCCAGCCCACCTAGAAACAGTCCCTTCTTACTGAGTTCCAAGTGTTCAGGCCAAAGAAATGGGACTGTTCTTCAGATTCCTCTCCCCAGATTTCAGACCCCCACAGCGCACACCCTCCACGTCCCCAGCAGCCCTCTGCCCTGCAGGTGGGGAGTGCGGCGCTGCACTGACCTCTAGTGGTCGGCGTTGGTAGTGCAGGGCACACGGCCCAGGTTGAGCCGCGTGCGCGCGCCGGGCGGGGGACGGCTGCATGTTCCCATCCCGCTTTCCTCACCCCACTCCTCGTTTACCCACACCCTTCTGCTCCTTGGCTGAGGCTCGAGGATTGAGCCTGGCAACGCAGTAGTCTTTGGGTAGCTGCCTTCCCGGGACTAGGAACCCTGGATGGGGGAGTTCCGTCTCTCCGCTCACACTGTCCCGCCGCATTGGGGCAGGCACGCAGTTAATGTCTGCCATCCATCGATTTGTCAAATATCTGCGGCACACCTGCCGGGTCAGAGAGAAAAGGACACTACACGACCCGCTCCCCCGGGCCCGCAAGCCAGTCCTGGGACCTGACCGGGCGGGACCGCAGCAAACACTGGGCGGCGAAAGCGCAAAGGAGATCCAACCCATCGGGGTCGGGGAGGAGGGCGAGGCAAGTCCCTGGAGGAGGCGACGCTCTGAAAGACAAGCAGAAGTCAGCTGGGTGAAGAAGCAGTGAGCGGCGCTCCAGGCACGGTGCTCGGCCTCAGCAGAGGCTCCGCCGCCGAGGGCCGGCGGAAGAAGGTAAGGCCGCGCCCCCTGCTGTAATTGGCCAACCGGGGTCCGACGTGTGGGCCCGCTGGCTGCCATGATTGGTTCTCCGGTGTCCCTGGGCGGAGCCCGCAGGCAGGTGCCGCGCCCTCTGGGAGCAGGGCTGGGACCTCCGCTGTGGTCTCCGCGAGTCGCCCCTTAGGGCTTCTCCAGGCTGCGGTACTTCTTGCGCTGCATGGACACCGGGTCCTTAAAGAGCACCGGGTCCAGACGCAGACGAGAGGACCGCAAGGGCATGTGGCCGAACGCTGCCGCTATCTGGTTGATGCAGTTGGGGTCTGGGGCCTGCAGCTTTGGCCCGGGCTCCGGGCCCCCAGGCACCTAACAGGGACAGAAGCAATGCGTTAATGGCCCTCTCCGCCTTTCCGAACTCCCCACGCCCGTGCAGCAAGAGAGACTAGAATTAGGCAGTTAGAGGGAATCCTCCCCGCCATCCCCACCATCCCCGCCAGTTCCGACCAGTCCCCCTCAGCCCTCACCAGTGGAGCAGCCTCCTGGCGCTGCTTGCCATAAGGCACCTTGATAGGGGGCAGCTTGGTGACTGCCGCTACTAGGAAATTCATCAGGACGTCCACACAAGTGGGTGCCTCATCTGCCAGGGTCCTCAGAGCCCTGGGCAGGGAGTGGGTGAAGAGAGTGTGGTAATACCTGGACAAGGGGAAAGGAAAGGGAGAGACTACAGAAAAATTCATCCCCAGGCCCCATTCTCCTCCCCTCAGACTTCACCTCTCCCTTCCATACCCAAGCCTCTGAGCCCTGCCTCTGAGAGTTCCCATCCCCGGCATAAACAGCTCTCCACTGTGCTGTGCCCGGGGCTCATCTGCAGCCAGTGGTGTGTTCCCTGCCCTCTCCCCCACAGCTCCTTGGGGCCCCCATCCTTGGGCTCTGAGTTCTGAACTCAGACATAGCCAGAAGTAGGTGGGCTGGGATCAGCTGGTTTCAAAGCCATCAAACATGGCAGCCCAAAGACCAGTTGTGGATGAACCAGGCTGATGCTGCTCTGAGTGAGCCTCACTTCACATGGCCCTCAGACAGGCCAGCCTCACCTCACAGACATTCAATTATTCTTCACTCTACTGATAATTCCCTGCAGAGCTCCTGGGTACTCTACAAGAGGTTCCAGGTTATGCATATTTGATTTAAACATGTTTAAGGAACCCCTCTAAAGAGGTCCTGCAGAATTCAGTCCCTACCCCAAGACTGGAGCACTTCAGGCAGCTTCTGGAAGGTCTGGAATGGTCCCCAACCCATCACATCCACATTTATAAAGCATCAGGACTATTCTCTTGTCACCCCACCACCAGAAAACCCACACACTGCCCCTGTTCACTCCATGGCTTTACTTAAAATAACAATTGTTATCATTTGTGGAACCTCTGTGTGCCAGGGACTTCATTTGATGATCACACCAACCCTGGGAGGTGAGTCCATCCCATTTTACAGATGAGGAAACAAACTTTAAAGAAGTGAGGAGATTTGCCCAGGATCCCACAACTAGGAAGTGGCAGATCTGGGCCTTGAACCTGGATCCCTGGGGTTCAACCTGAGCCACCCTGCTGCTGGTTTGGGGTAGGGGGGGTCTCTGATCCATTTGCAGGGTGAGGGTCTGTACCTATGGTAGAAGGCAGCCATGGTGAGAACCATGGAAAATTCATTTGTCCTCTCAGCAGTGTAGCCCCAGCCACCGTGGGCCTCGTCCCAGAAATGGCTCGACGTCAGGAAGCCCACCATCCGCTCCGGGAAGCTCTGCCACACCACAAAGGCAAAGTCCACCTGGAGAGGGACTCAAGTAAGCTGTGAGGAAGGACCTCCTAAATACCTAGGACATCCAGATAAATGGAGGCAGGGCCAGCCTGGCTGAGGACCAGGACAGGACTCAGGGTAGAGGAGACAGGAGCCATGACTTGGAATTGGCTGGAAGTGTGGCATGAAAGCTTTCAGGGGGCACAAAAACAATGTTCTCAAACGAGTTCATGGAAGCCTCAAGACTCCTAAAGAGAAGGTTGCCTGGCTTGCTGGGGTGGCTTCAAATGCAAGAGGCTGGACTTCAGGACCTGGGGTCTCCCCAACTCTGGGAACTTGAGGGACTGCCAGGGCCCTCTGGCTCTGTGTCTACCCACACTGGGTTTCTCTTGGGCCCAGCCCTCACCTCACTTGTGGAAAGGCTGCTGCGGGCATCGAGGCTGAGGATGGCATCAGTTCTGATGGTGCTGTATGGGAAGAAGCGATCACTAACCTGCAGGAGGAGAAGGGAGGCGAACTCAGCCATTGGAACCTCCCTCCACCCCCATCCAATAAGTAAAGCCCTTCAGGCACAGTGTAGACACTTGGGCAGCGAATACAGCAAGCCTGTGCAGAGCTCATTCTGGGACCTGGGTAACTCATTTGACCTCTTGGATTTCAGTTTCCCCTTTGGTAAAATGGGGCAGTTAGGCTCTAGGGACCCTTCCAGTTTTGACATCTTGGGATTCCTCCATTGTCATATTGTCATATCAACTGTGGGAGGAATTGTCAAACATCTCCCATTTGAAAGAAACAGATAAGAGAGACGAAGGGACTTGCCCACAGTCATGCAGCAGGCATGGTTCCAACCAACCACAGTTCCCAGAAGCCACCCATTCCTGGCCCAATGTGCTGCCCTTTGTCTATGTTTTCTCAAGATCCCGGGTTTCTCCTCCCTTTCTCATCTGAGATATCAACCCACTCCTCTGTCTTCCCTCATCACATAAGCCCCAGTGCTTTGGAAGCACAATTCACAGGGACCAGGGAGGGAAGAGAATCATTACTATTAGTTGCCCTGCGGCTGAAACCTACTGTGCCATTCTTCAGGCCCAACTGCAGCTCAGGCCCAGGTATTCATAAGACACCCCATGGGTGCCCTCCCCCAGCTCCCAGCATGGGCCCACCCTGTTCATGCCTCTCCTTATCCCTCACCTTCCTGCGCCCATCAATGACTGTCAAGGGCACTGCTGTTTCCGTCCACCTGGATGGGAGTGGCCTCTCATTGCTCCAGAGAACCAAGATCTAGAGGACAAGAGGTTGTCCGTGAAGTCTGGGATCTGGGGCAGAAGGCGGGTTGCAGGGCGTTGGGGGGCAGGAGTGATCTTTCTCAAGGTAGAAGAAGTTTGAGAAGTCAGCTTTATA